TTTCCTGATTTCAAACCCGAGTGGTTTCTGAAATCTGAAAGGTTTCAGATTTTAAATTACGTCATAATTAAAAATGTTTTTTTCTCTAGACTGCACAATGTTGCTATTGCTCGCTTTGAAATCTTTGGGGTTGTTAATCAAAAATTCGTTAAAGATTTACAAAATATGAAATGGATAATAAAACAAATTCCAGATTTCAAATTTGTTTCCACATGCCCGCATTCGCAGTAGGAATACGTCATTTAAAATTCGATAGCTGTATGTACCATTGTCTTATCACAATATGTATCATTGTCTTATCACAATGCAAGAAATATACATAAATTTATGCAGATTTTTCATTATTTAATTTCTTTAAATATAACACAGGGCGATAATACTTTGTGGCAGCAGTTTGAAAAGTGATTCGCTGTTTGTAATGAATCGACGCAAAATCGCAAAACAAAAACCGCAAAACAAAAACAATAGTCCATCAGAGACAAAACCCCTTTGGACCAAAAAAAGGGGAAGGCAGTTCTATATCTCCCTTTACACCGGGCAGGTTGACGAAATTCAAATTGCGTTTTTTATGTCTCGAAAGCGCCACTTAGGATATGTACACTGGTTATCATAAATTAAGGAAAAATCACAGAAATAGCGATAACTCCCTCAAAAATAAGCCAAACCGTGCAAAATTTGAATATGTTACCAAGTAAGAGTAGCTGAGTAAATCTCCAATATGCAAATTAGTGGCACTCGGAATACGTCATCTGCGAGGAGCATAAAAGTCCATGTTTGAGAGCAAGCTCACATATTTTACTGTGATAGTGACATCAGAAATGTGAGGTAGCCAATTCATAACAATGACCTTTAGGCTTCATTTGCCTGCAGAACTACGATGGAAAGCCATTGGGAGACTAGAGGCAGGATAAAGTCAAACAGAAGTGGCCAGATGACTAAATGTGGGTCCTGTGGTTCATAGATTTTGGAGGCGATTTCAAACCACAGATTCGGCATCTAGGAGATTATGCCAAGGACGGTCAACTCCTACGCCGAGCGCCGATGACCGATATTTGACATTATGTGCACGCAGGAATAGAACCGCTACTCCGACTCTTCTTAGATCCTCCCTTGCTGCAGCCACCGGAAGGTTCGTGTCAACGAAACTGTGCGTAGAAGGCTTCACGAAGGTGGTCTGTATACGAGGCGACCAGCCATTTGCGTGCCGCTCAAGTCATGACATAGGAGGGAACGTTTCCAGTTGGTACGACAACATGTCCACTGGACGCCTGAGCAATGGAAGGCTATTCTCTTTACGGATGAGTCCAGGTTTAGTCTAGAACGCGATAGTAGGCGTTATTTGATATGGAGAGAACCTGGAACCCGTTATCATACGTCAAACATCCGTGAAAGAGATGCATACGGAAGAGGCAGTGACTGTGTTTGGGGTGGCATCTCTTTGGGCGGACGCACAGACCTCCATGTCTTTCCAACGGAAACCGTGAATGCTCCGGTTTATAGAGATGACATCCTTGATGCTTATGTGTGCCCATGTGCCGAGGCAATAGGGAATGCTTTTCTGTTACGGAACGATAACGCAAGACCACACAGGGCTCGCATCGTAGATGATTATCTTTAACAGGAAACAATTATGGGCATGTAGTGGCCAGCTCGATTCCCGGACTTGAATCCTATCGAGCACGTTTGGGATGCTTTAGAGAGACGTCTAGCTGCTCTCAATACGCCCCCTCATACCCTTACCGCGCTTGAAACTGCTTAGCAAGAGCAATGGCTCTCGCTTCCTATGGAACTGATAGACCGCATAGTTGAAAGCATCACGCATTTCTGTATGTGCTGTATTGCTTCTAGAGGCGACCATATTCCATACTGAAGGTACTTTTACTATAGCAAACTGACACCTTCGATTTGTTCATTTTATACATGTGCTAATTTCTATACTACCATAATTGTCTGGTAATTTATTTTTATGTTATTTGATACTTTACTATATGTTGTGTATTGTGGGTTAGTTTCATAAAATTCTACGTGTAACTTTTTCTGTAATCGTGATTTTTATGATTTTTCCTTAATTTATGATAACCAGTGTAAAATTTTAGGATTCTCAGTGCTGGATTGAGCGAGAAGAAACAATAACATTTAACTTTTCCTTATCTTCGTTTTATTAATCCTTATTGTCAAAAAATAATAATTGCATCTTAGAGATGGTGAAACAAGTACCAAAAAAGTTGAAAATGGTTTCATGTGTTGAAAATATGTCCCATTGTGAATTTACGTCAACCCAACGAGAGGTACAATACATTTAGAGTTTAAATGAGTCGTACATTCTTAAAAGGTGAGAAAGAGTGCAGCTCTTTTGCCTTTCTTCAAATTTCTCAATCACCGACAAATAGCAAAATAGTTCATCACTTGAGTGAGCTTCGTCATTGATGCTACATATTTTTTCTAATTAAAACTCCCCTATATGGAAAAAATCATCTCTAATTAAAATTTAAGAGTTATTTTCTCTCTAGAGGACAGGTTGCTATTACCGACAAAACAATAAAAAGGAAACGTGATACACCTCAAAATCTTTTCTGAATCTGCCATTTTAAATCTTACTCAGGTATTGATCATATAGATGTACTCTAAAATGCGCGCTAGAAGTACCATTTAAACATTACTAGAATTAACGGAGATAATTCATGCATAGTAATGTTGTAAGGATCCTAAGTTTTACTAACATTTATTTTATTTTAAATCTTTACTATCACTTCTTATTTTCTACTTCCGGCCAGAATTAAAAGCTTTAACTTATTTATGCAAATTTGTCTCGCTAACGCCAAGTACTTAAGTTGTGGCCTTTTTGCCAAGCAAGAGAGAGGAAGGAGTTATTAGAAGCAGGCCGCTTGCCATAGTAGTTTACTCGGTTGCTGGTTGCCTTCAAGGCCAGAGGTTTAATCCTCTTGATAATTTTAAACGTATCGTAGTTTTAGCAGCTCTCTGTACTACATACAGATTTTTGTTAAATAACGGCCAATCTTGAAGTTAGGCACTTGTATATTAATCCAAAGTTAGTTTTAGTTAGAGTTTTTAGTTAGTATTTTTATATTCTTACATTCAGACCACAAGTGGTTGGTCTCTGTATTCCGAAGTCCGGAAATCCCTGTAAAGATAGAAAAATAAACGGTTTTGTATACCCTTCCTGTGTGTATTGTCTACTTCACAATTTATTGAACATAGCTTGAGTAAGCTCCCTGTTCCGAGTCAGGACAGTTCATGTTTCCAAAGCAAGTAAAGAGTAATACAAGTCCTGATAATGTGACTCAACATACTTTTCAGGACTTCATTATTTTAAGAGTTTTTTTTTCAGCGCTCACCTTGACTTTTGAAAGCGTTCATTGCGTTGTCTCAGATTGTCATATAATTTCAATGTCATTTTAATTTTAGTATTACTGATATTTAACATTTAAGTGCAATGAATGCAATCAGACGCATTGGAGACGGGCCTGTTAAACCTCAGAATGCCAAGGCCTCCGCTCAACTGTTTCTTTAAAAAATCGAAACGTCTGAATTTCCGTTTCAAATTCACCAAAAAGTAGAGTTCTTTCTTTAGTGAACATGGTGGCGTGAAGGTTTCAAATAATATCGTTTCTAGTTCCTAACAAAGAAACTTCCCTCTTATTCTATACTAAAATTACCTTTAATCTAAAGAAACCACAGAAGAATCGTTTTAGCACAGTTTTATATCTTTAGGCGATAGTGCTTTAGGCTATTATGATTTCAGGCTGTTGAGGAATTTAGGGGAAGATAATGAATGTTAGTTCAGACAGTGATGACGAGTTATGTGCTCGATGGATGTTAATTGAAATAATTTTACGTAATATATTTCACCTATTAAATGGTTAAATTGTAATCAGGTAGGTTAATAAAAACTAAGCCGTCAGCCAAAATATTTTTTTCCAATTTTCGGGTCCCAAAACCAAGGTGTACCATATGGAAGGCAAAATGAGATCATTGTTGAAGGAAAGCTCGAGTGGCAACATCGTATTTGACATTATGTTTTGGCAACAGTGAAATATTACTTATTTTGGAATTCGTTAATGGTAATTAATGTGAGTAAGTAACTGTTCGAAAACGACATATTATAATGACAAAGACGCTGGAACTGATAAATTAATTAATGTCAAATAGCGTGATTTTTATTTTTAAGATTCAAGGCGTAAGCAACAGGCTATCTGCTAAGCAAATGAATGCCTTCTTAAAAAGTGTTCTAAGGGAGTGGCGTTCACATTAGAATGTAGAATACCATAAAGATTCTTATGTAACCAGTTTATCCGGCAAGTTTTACTTACTTAATATTTCTTAAAATTAATATTTCTTTTTGTTTGCGAAAGTTGTTAAATATGCGTTAATATAAGAACTTTTAGCGCGTTTTAGGAGATTGTTATTATACTATAATTACGTAGTAAAAACTCTGCTTCCGGTCACCTACGGAAAGAAACGGGACAGTAGCTCAATTTTTGTGTAGAGGCGCAGTAAAATCACAAGAAACTTTTGTCTACTCATGTGTTTTATATTGTATTTTTGTTCTTCTTTCTTATTCCTCATTTCACAAACGTTGAACCCGTTCTAAGAAAATGATTAAAAGCTGCAAATTTGCTTTCTGTTTCAGATTATTTTAGAAATGTTAAAAGCATTTGTTTCGCATATTATAATGCGACAATTATATGTCCTTAATATTTTAGCAAACGTTCAGATTATTTTGGAAAGCAAATAATTCGGAGTTCTGTTCAAGGTTGCTAAATTATTTTTTTAAAAAAACTTTTCCGGATGACCTCAAACTGTGGCTTAAGCTGCATCTGAAATATCCAATGGGCATCCGGCAGATACAGAGATCACGAAGGAAGTAGATTTTGCATATTTCCGCAACTTAATTAGATATGTATAAAAGAAAGCGATTTACTTTAATTGTATCCAAATATATAAAGCTTTCAGACTCTTTTCAGCTTTATTGTTCGTCATAGACTCTAATCAACATGTGGATTCTCGTCGCAGCTGCTGTGGTCGTCGCCTCCACAGGTATGGCATACATTGTTTAACAAATCAATATTCGCAATTACAAAACAGGTTTGTATACTGTTTTTGTAGAACTGATAATAAAAAAAATTTTTTTTTTTTTTTTTAATTCTACATTTCTGCAACTGAAAGATCAATATGTTTAGAATAAGAAAGAGATATCAAAATTTCCTTACACCTTACACTTGAGGTATTCTCTTATGTATCAGAAGAACTCTATGAATTTCTCGCTTAAATATTGTAAAATCACTTTTAAGTATTAAACTGATCTAACAGAACACAGATTTCACGCATCTATTTCTTCCTGAATAATTACTGAATACTCTTCAGTGCATAAAGGGTGTATGTCTTAAATCGCGTTCAAGGTTATTTATCTTCTAATTTTAGTTTAATGTCCATTTTAAAAATGTAGTGTTGTTCCACGGTAAAATCTTCAGTACAGAGTTTCTCAGCGCTTTTGCATTTCATATATTTTTCAAAATTCTTAATTAGATCATCAATAATGACGGCAAGAGCCACATACTTTGAAGTTTAGAACGTTAAGTTGATGGCTACAACAAAATGTTTAATGTTTCTTTTAGTCTATTAAGTTTACTCGATTTCACATTCGGAAAACAATGACTTATACGGTACATTATTTGCATTGTATTTTATTTCCTGCATTTTTTCTTTCAGTTTCGAAATTATCGTTTTGAGTATAAAGAAACTGCAAAACTTTTGTTGCACTTGTATCACAAGTAGCAAATATTGCAACAGATGTAATTATTTTCTCTCCAAACTTTTCTTCCGCAATCTGCTTCTGTCTACAATTTAATATCACAGTTTAGAATGTATTATCGTTAGTCTAAATTCTACTAATTTTTCGAAAATCACATTCGGATGGTTGGATGTTTGAAATGTACTTTAAAATAAAACTTTTGTCTCGAAACTTTACTAAAGCGGTTTGTAATATGATTTTGAACTTAATTTTTAACATTCTGAGTTAGATATTACCTATTTAAACATTAATAATTAAATTCTGATTGTAGAAGATTGTGATTCAAGAAAATGTCTAAACGTTAAATGGAATATAGCGTCTCTATTTTGCTGTCGGTCACGCTTTAACCTGACTCAAAACAAACTACTACTAATCAAAGCCTGCAAATTTTCTTATAATGAGAACAAAATAAGCAAAATGCATATATGTTAAATTTAAGAACCTGGCGTGTGTATTTCTTACGTTTATGTGCTCGCGTATATACCACCTAAAATTCCTTACTTTTTAAGACCTAAAATCTGCTTCTAGCCTTTCAAACATTTTTAAAATTTACTGCCGTATTCTTTTAAAAACATTAAACAGTTTAAAACTAATAGTTCTTGTGGGCCATTTTCCTTCTCCTAAATGAGCTCAAGTATTCTCACTTGCAAAAGAATTTACTCTCCAACTATTACACTGCCACCAGATGTTTTAACCTGTTTAGGAAATGTGTCCCTAATCGTTTCTAGCATTTTTGTTAACTTTTTATAGGCGAAATTGAACCACAAAGTAAAATATAAGTAAAGGAAATAATACAATAATTGCCATTCGCACTTAATTCCTACTTTAATTTCTTGATTCTTTCTGATCTGTCAGCCCTAGGAAAGGAAGACATCTGCGAGAAGAGGAGTTGGGAAATGTGTCACTCAGGTATACCTTTTGACTTTCCAAACAACGAGCAAGAATTGGACGAGGCATGTCCGTAAGTTATTTAGTTTAATTTTTAAATATCGTTTTGTCTATTTGGAGCTATACGAGATTGACGTTTTATTGTATTGCTAGATAATTTTAATAAGTTTCCTTCATGAAGAGGAAGTGCGTAACAATGTAATGCTAATGGAAAATGGAAGGTTCAGATACTTCTATAAACCTAAAAGTCTAATAATGAAGGACGAAAAGACATTTTTACATTGAGTCATCATTTTAAATCTAAATTATCTGAAGTTAATGATCCAATTCGGTAACTTAGCTATACCGGATCTCACTTCCTAGCTAGCGAGGCGAACTCTCCGGTTAGGAAGTGTAGCCAAAGCCCACGTTTTAGGCAATGTACAAGCTATCTCCTTTCTTTGCAATCAAGTGGTAGTATCCATTTGTAAATGAATTATAGTATGCTGGGCAAAACGGACGCAGTTATTACATTCGAAAGAATCTACGTAATTTGATGAGCACGAAAATGAATTTTGGATATCTCACCTACAACGTGCAGCGAGCTTTCAAGCTAATAAACTCTAATTTTCTGATGATAAAATTTTACGTGTCTGGGTACATAAAACTGGATTTTTCAAGAGATCACTCACTTTCTTCATAAAATGTTTGATCTCTTAAACTATATGAAGAATTCGCCATAATGTAATGCAATCCAAGTGCTCAAACGAACAAGCAAGCGAGGCAACGCTGTGAGAGATTTAGCTTTACCCAGGGTGCATCACGAGGAGGCCTGTCTCGTTACACGAAGTGGAGGCTATATTTATTGCTTTGAATCAATTAAACGCTCAAAAGAGTAATTTCCCTTGGTCTGTTATTTTTTCCGACAGCAAAGTCGCTTTGCAGGCTTCCTCCAACAATAAACTTTGCACTTTCGAATGAATCTACCAAAGCAGAAAGATTCTGAACACTTCGGCTGATGAAATTTTCCTGCAGTGGATTCCTGATCATTATGACATCGAGGGAAATGAAGAGCCGAATTCCCGGTAAATAAAGGAATGACTGTTCTACAAACCACTAATAACCATATGAATTTTGATTCTGCAAAACACCTAATTAAATTAGAATTTAAGAGGAGGTTTGCCTCCTACCTATCAAATAAAACTAAGAGAAAGACCTACGAGTGTCTCTCTAGCTCAAAGCGAGTTCTTTCAGATTTTCGTTGGTCTGTAGACGTGCCGCTATTTCTTCTTTTGACTGGTCACGATTGTGTGATTGCCTATCTTTTTTTAAATTCGACTTCAGGACTCTTCAGGCTGTACACCTTTTAACACGTTTACTGCCGCGTGGGGCGTATGCGCCCCACGCTGAACTTTCCGTTCAAGCCATTTGGTATTATCATTGTAAAATGAAGATTTAAAAAAAAACATTATGCAGTCAATTATGGCATCTTAATACTACTGCTGATGCCCTCAATTAATCGTGGGGTGTATACGCCCCACGCGGCGTGATGGGCAATTTTTTTTCTCCGTAACTTGTTTCAACTGCATTCCTCGTATTTCGATCAGTCATTTATTCGCGTGTCGTTGATACACTACTTACTGCTTCACTGAACCTGGGATTGATTTATAGTTCAGTGTGTTTCTTCAGTGCGTTAGACGAAGGAAATACGGTACGTACATATTATTTCAGTGTTATAAATTCGGATATTTTGCATTTAAAAATGGTTGCAATTTTTCCCGTCTTTTCTTCTTCAGACCTTTTCCAACTTTTACAATAATTACTCCTTATAAGCAGATATGGCATCACACAGCAACAGTTTTCCTAGTGATGATTCTGACGACGAGGAAGGCCACTTTAATTCGATAAGAAGGCGCTGTAAAATTTGTTACGAAAGAAATGTTAAAAATTTGGGTTCCCAATCGGCAAGAAACTGTACTGTAAAAGTTGCGACATTCTGCGATAGTTGTGTGGATAAACCACACTTATGTTTGCCATGTTTTGATAAAGTTCATCGTAACATCCCTTTGTAATTGTATACAAACTTGAATTTAACTAAAATGTTGTTTTAAAACTGATATACGTACAATAAAAAAAATATATGTGAGGATGAAACTTGCTTGGCATAGTAATGTTCAGCCAGGTATTTGTTAAACTAATTCCTAGAAAAATAAATTTATTGGTTTTTTGTATTATGCATGTTAAACTATACAACCTTTCCTTGATAATTATGATTTTTGCGCTACTTTAATTATTGTAAGGCATATGCTAGAAACAAAATAATACAAATGTAAAGCGTGGGGCGCATACGCCCCACGCGGCCTGAACGGGAAGTCTTCAAAAATCGGTCTGGCAGGGAACGTGTTAACTCTGGACAGTCCATGGATCTGGAGCATATTGAAGAATGTACTATCCTCTTCAATTATATTGTTCTTAAATATTGAGAAGCAAGATCTTCTTAAGTATTCATCATTTAATTCTATTGTTCTTAAGTACTGAGAAGCAAGATCAAGACTAATGAATTATTGGCCAAATATCTGGCATTTGTAGTAAATAAATAGATAAATATGATGCATTGAATGAAATCTCTGTAATTTAAGAAGACGAGTGAAGGCAATCTGTGGAAAATTATTGCTTGGTAACTGTGGTAAAAAATGCCAAAACGAAATTAATAGTCCTTCTGGGAAAATTGTTCCTTAGGACTAAAATATTATATGAAGCTTTCTATAAATTCAGCAGCTATTGTTATTTCACGAGTCTAACTAGTAGTAAATAAAAGCGATAAAGAACTGATTTTCTTGATTTTAAATCGCTTAGTTTCTTAATCAATAACAGGCAGATTAAATTTTAAAGGAAAATTAAATGCTATACGGTTCGTCAAACAGAAAGGTTAGGTTAGGTTATTTAGTTAGGGCAAAGCCTCGAGGTCTATCTGCCTAAGAGGAGGGTTGCCTTCGTGGAGGAATTTTTAAGGGAAACTGCCTCGTATACATGTTACACATGGGGTAAACCACGAAAACACCCATACAGCCAGCCGTTCGCGGGATTCGAACCTCGGACCGAACTACCAGTGTTCAGCGACTTTACCGCTCAGCCGCTGGTGGGCTCGTCAAACGGAAAGAAATTGGCACACTGAAGTTAGAAATATTTTATATTGAATATCTTTAGAATTTCCCATAAAATGTTAAATTCTTCCATACATTTTTATAGTCACTATATTGTTTCTTTAAAAATAATACATTTGATAATTTGCTTCCGTACCACTTTTCAAATATTGCCATCAAATATCGCAATATTTGAAAAGTAATACGGAAACAATTCTTATATTTGAGCCGAAAAGAAATTTGCGCAAAATAGTGAGCGTATTTTGCAGGCGGATTTGGTCAAACCGGATTTTCTTATGCAGAATTTTAGAAAAGTCCACCATAATACCTGTACGTTGTTAAAAATATTGTCTATGATATTCTTTCTAACAGGTGACGACAAAGGAGCTGGATATTAACTCTAAACTCAGTTGGTAACTGATTTTAAATTAAGATAAAGCACGTCAGATCTACTTGCCATGGAAGGAATAATTTCGTAGAGAAATTTCTATAACAACTGGCTCGTATTCATGTTATACTTCGAGAAAACATTGAAAACTTTTATTCTAGTCAACTATTTCACTTAAAGGCCATGTAGCTGTTCTTCGTATCGTCCATTCGGCAGCAATTACTTAAATGCATAATGGATAAATGAATTATTCAGGGATTCAAATCTTTAAATAATTATCATTGCTGTCATTATTTAAAAAGTAAAATTAGTTGTTCTACAATTAACCTCAGTCATTAAATTAATTCATGTTCCAATAATTAATAATTTCAATATTCATGGAATTACCGTTTGTCTTCGTCATCGAAATAACGAAAGATAATTGCTAATTTTTGAATAGATTCCTGTTTAGTTTTTATTGCTGTCGTTATCGTTTTCTTGTTATCGTCAAAATTTTGTTAATAATTGCTTACATTGCTCATTTTTTTATAAGACTGCATACATCGTAGCCATATTCTAAAACATTATTCGCCCACCAGCGGCCGAGCGCTAAATTCGTTGAACACTAGTAGTTCGGTTCGAGGTTCGAATTCCGCGAACGGGCTGGCTGCATGGGCGTTTTCGTGGTTTTCCCCATGTGTAACGTGTATACGAGCCAGTTTCCCATAGAAAGTCCTCAACGAAGGCATCCCTCCCTTTCGTCAGATGGCCCTCGAGTCTTTGCCGTAATTAAATAACCTAACCTAACCTAACCTCAAACATTATTCATTAGATTGTTGTCAAGTATATTGGTAACCAACATGTTAATTATTGAGTGTTATGGCAGCAAAATTAAATCTTTGACTATCCCGTGTCCCATCAGTAATTGAGCGAAAGGATCCTTGAAAATGTTAGTTCGTCCGTGACCTTCGAGAGGGAGAAGGCCATGACACTTTAAAAGCATGGCGGATCTTTCCGTCCGATGTTATCAACGGAAAGCCATCTGGATTTTTTAATTTTCGTCGGAAATTATAACTTTATCATTTGTTTAGTTAATTAAAATAGCTGAAAGAAAAAGAGGCTTTATATACATTATTTTCTTTATCCTTTTAGGCCTTTTGCAGATATTTTAATTAACTTTGGGCATAAATATAATTGAGAGAATCGAAGAAACAAACGAACATTTTACAAAAATTTAAACGTTGATTGAAAATTGCCACTGTCATGATAAATTGAGAAGGGGTTCTTAAGATAATTATTAATGTTTTACCTAGGCTCAAGTATTAATTTATTTGCGTTTCAAAGCAAAATATATAACCATAAACTTCTATATCTCCAACGTATGTAAATGAAATACTATATAAATTAGCTAATAAATGTGATAAAGATATTTCGTACAAGAAACGTACCTAAATCTTATAACAAAAAAGCCTTCCAACATTCATATTTGAAATAAGATAACCTAACAAACAACATACGCAACTTTCAATAAAAAATAATAAAAAGCATATAAATGATAATCGTAATTCCCATTACCCTAAAATTAGAAACTAAAAATATGTATATACACCTACATATGATTAAAAGAAATGGTGTTAAGAAACATCACCATGACTACTAAATATTGTAATTCATAATTATTTCATTTTTAATCATGAATATTTAAAAAAACATTAAATTTTACATTAAGTGCAAATTGCAGTTCTGTTATTTTTCTCTTGGAATTCGTAATATATCTCTTGGTATGAATACGATTGTTGCAAGTTATGTTTTTTAATTATTACATTTGAATATATTCCATTTCCATTGTTAATTTTTGTAGGTGCTTGTGATAGCAATAAAATTCATGATAAATGGGAAAAAACCTTTTGTTGTGTGCTATTTAATGAAAAGCAGATTTAAATGTGCAGTTCTTACTATTGTGTATATTATTCAAATCATTTCTGCGCAGTATCCAAGGGAAAGTGTCCAAAGGATTATTATTGATTTGAAAAAATGAATAAAATGGCCATGAGAATCTGCCATTGTCTATAACAAGTGTGTATATATATACATATATATATTTACATATAATCGAAAGAAATGATGTTAAAAATCATCAGCATTGCTACAAGTTATTGTATTTTTAACAGCTTGCTACTTAAAAAACAATAACGGATGTTTTATTAATTGGAAATAGTGTAGTTCTGTTACTTTTTTCTGGTAACTTTCAAACACTACATAGTTTATGTGCTGTTTTAAATATTTAATGTATATTTTTAATATTTTATCCCTTTAACTGTCAAGTTATTTTGATGATTTGGGTACACAAATTGTCAAATTTTTTTATTGCAAAAACCAAATGTTTAGTACAAAATAAAATATACTTAAGTAGTTAAAAATTGATATTTTGACGTACATGGGTAAAATTTTTAAAGTTTTGTAGCCACTGCATATTTGCTTTGAGGCGGCTGCCACTCAACATGGCAGTTGCAAAGTTCGCTTCTAGTGGAGCATTATTTTCTAAAAACTGAAAAAAAAAAAATTAATTATTTTCTAAAAATAAATAAATGAAAAAAATAATAAATAAAAGTGAATACCTATTAGTAGTTCAGTAATTCAGTCTTGTGTGGTACAACTGGAAATATTTTTCCAAGCACAAACCAACTCCACAATCACTACACCAGAATCGTGATTCCTTCCTTATCTTTTCCCCATTTTTATCCTTTTTCAAACAACACACTTTGCACTGTCTTGTAGGCTCACGTTTCGCAGGAGTAAGAGGAAAATGGGATATAAAATGTCGTTCAGTAAGACGGGCAGGGTTATCTATTGTAGGTGGTCTGCCAACATTCTTTTGTCCAGAAGCTGCATCATCATATTTATGTAAAAGCTCTTCTACAACTTGGATTCGAAATTCTAAAAATGTAATACGTTTCCCAACTACATTTTTATAGAGCAAATATGAGTTCCAGAGTACCTTGTCTCTAGTAAATGTAAAAATATTTTTTATAATATTTTTTCTGACGTTTTCGGATTGTTGGATGAAAGGATATTTCCTGATCACAGCGATCTACACCACCCATAGTTAGATTGTAAGTCAGAAACAATCTTCGGCTTGAGTATATCTTCCATTTTTAAAATTTTTTTTTTATTTTTTTTTTATATTTTGAGGCTGACCATGGAAGTATCATGAATACTGCTCATCAAACACACATCCTTCACCTTCGGTTGAAGAATCTAAATCATCTATATAACGTTTCAAAGAACTGGAGGCTATTTTACAACAAAAAGACCCCATGCACTTTGAACCAAATAACCTCTAACCTTTGAAATTTTCAGTAAAGTGCTGTCATCATTTGAACTGAGCGCACATTAACTTTTCCCGAGATGCAGACGGGTTTGACAAAGAGATGAAGCCGAAATAAACGTCTCCCGATATATATTCGGGTATAACAATACGATGCACTCAAAAAAAAAAAAATTACCCCGAGTAATACTCGGGCGTGACATTTTCGAACACCAGTGCTGTACCCGAGATTATCTCGTGCATGACAGTTAAAAGGTTAAAACTGTGTATGTTGTTTGTTAGGTTATCTCATTTCAAATATGAATGTTGGAACGTTTCTTTTGTTATAAGATTCAGGTACGTTTCTTGTACGAAATATTTTTTATCACGTTTATTAGCTAATTTATATAGTATTTCATTTACATACGTTGGAGATATGGAAGTTGATGGTTATATATTTTGCTCTGAAACGCAAATAAATTAATAGTGGAGCCTAGGTAAAATATTAATTATTATCTTAAGAACCCTTTCCCAATTTATCATGACAGTGGCAATTTTCAATCAGCGTTTAAATTTTTTAAAATGTTCGTTTGTTCTTCGATTCTCTCAATTATATATATGCACAAAGTTAATTGAAATATTTTTAAAAAGCCTAAAAAGCTAAAGAAAATAATGTATATAAAGCCTCTTTTCTTTCAGCTATTTTAATTAACTAAGCAACATGATAAAGTTATATTTCCGACAATAACATCGGACGGAAAGCTCCGCCATGTTTATAAAGTGTCATGGCCTTCTCCCTCTCGAAGGTCACGGTTCGTCTCGGTTAAGGTTCATCCGAGCCCACCAGATGCCGAGCAGTCAAGTCGCTGAACACTGATAGTTCGGTTCTGGGGTCGATTCACTGAGAGCGAGATTGCAATGGCGCTTTCGAGGTTTTCCCCGTGTATAATGTCTATACTAGACAGTTTCCCTTAAAAATTCGTCCAAGACGGTATCTACTCTAGCGCCTTTCCGTAATTAAAGAAATCAACAAAACTGACCCGGGTAAAATCCTTTTGAAAGATTTGGCTGCATGGGAGACTTCGAGGTTTTTCTCCATGTCTGACGAACTTTACCAGCAAGTTTCTCTTAAACTCTTCTCCAGAAAGGAACCTTTTCCCCTAAGCTCTTAATAATTCAAATTATACTAATCATAACCTTAACCACCAGTAAAAAATGTCATAATTTTATATCGGGTACAAGTGAAAGTTCGAAAGCACCTCTGTAGTACAACAGGTGATTAAGGTATTGCTAAATCTGTTAACTGTTAACCCCTTAACTGCCGCGGGCGTATATATACGCCTTGCTCAGCCGATGCGTTAACTGCCCCAGGCGTATATATACGTCCTTCCAAATTGCTATCATTTGCTTTGCGCTGCTACACCTAAAATTATTCGCAAAGTTAACGCATCGGCTGCGCATCTGGGCGCATCTGGGGCAGTTAACGCATCGGCTGAGCAAGGCGTATATATACGCCCGCGGCAGTTAAGGGGTTAATCTTCCAGCCGAATTTCCGCCCCGGTGGTCAGCTAGCTCTCTTTTGATACCACTAACCTCTCGATATAACTTCTGACTCGCTGTATATTTTTAATGCCTTCCCACACACATATACTATACGCTTATAAACATCCATACTTTTTTGGGATTTGATTTCGGGCCCATCGATACGACAATCAGCGTCAGTGATCCTTATACCGGGAAGGCGGCAATATTCTATAGAATACATTTAAATGCATGCAATTAGGTTTGATTCGATTTATAAAAATTTTGTAAAATTTTAAATCATTCGCCATATTTTCAGTTTTTTATTGGACGAGGGTAAGTGCATGCAGGAACATGCTATGAAATGCGAAAGTCCTGAGCTTGGAGCGATAACTGCACAAACTGAACTTATGCAAGATATTTGTCGCAAAGGCTCCAGCCTTAATGAAGGTAAAATGTTTTATTAGTTATTCCTTTTCCAAGCATGTAATGCCTGTAGTTCTGGTTTTTCATCTGTAGTTCTGTTTTACTATATATTACCAGACTACTTAAAAATCAAACCGCTAGACAAAAATTTTCTCTCTGTGAGAAGTAACATCTTTAATTTAACTTTCATATAAAAATTGGTGTCTTGTGTATTATACTGTCCATAACAGTTGGCCACCATCAGATCATGGAAGCGAATCGTACATGAAGAATTCTGAAGTAACTGACGCCTCTTTATTTAATAAACAACTGATATTTGAACCCTTCTTCACTGCGCTTATTAAAAAAGGTTTTGTAGATTTGTCGATTTCTAACCTAAACAACTAGCCCTTCCGATTTCATCGGAGTCTCTGTATAGAACGCTACGAGTACAAACTGCTTCTGGGGAACTTTTCCAATCTATAATTGTTTAGCTGTCCGTATGCAGCAGACCTCATATTGAGCATTAATATACAGTTATTTTGATAGTATGATTCCATAATTGTGAAAATAATCCCTTACATTCTGCTCTGTAGAAGGCAGATTCGAAATTTTAGATTTTTTTGAACTGAGTGAAAAGTGCAGCAATAGCAGTTAATTTATAGCCCTTTCCAATAAAAGCAATAAAAGTTGCTTTTATTGCAAAGAGCTGACTTTCCAATAAAAGTTGGCTAATCGAGAATGACTGAAATGCATCAAACGAAAGCGCAGATGTCATCAGTACTCTGACACTTTATGATTATCCATAATCGGCTCTTGGTTCCGCTGCTTGACGAGTGTTTCATGGTCGACGGGATAATATGCAAGAACAACAAATTATGTTACTAAATTAAATTATCCATCTACAAGCAATGTATTCAATTATTTTTTATGTTTATTATATTCCATAACTAGCAGACGTATCCAATTCCAAAGAAAAGAGTTACAAGGCGTTAAATCAAGTAACTTAGTCCGTGAAGAGAGGCTGTTGATCCTCACCAACAAGCTCAATCCAAATTTACCGTTGAGGTAGTGCAATGAGAAATTATGCTCATGCTTTGTATTGTATTGAATTGTATCAAGGGGAAATATTTTGAGGAGCAGCAAAGAAATCAAACTTTAAAGAAAAATTTGTTGCTCTGTTTTTGGAATAATGAAATACATTTTCCCCATCGTTTGGCTTACTTATTTTGGAATGAAATGTAAAGAAATATGATATTTTATACTCATTATCCTGAAATTCGAGGATCAGTTCTTAACATTGTAATATCTAAATCAAAATAACAGTGAATCTGTAGCCAATCAGCACGATTTATAATTAAAATTATCGATAAATGTAATGTACACTTTGCCCAAAATAATAATAATAAAAAGAAAATGTGAAAGCTTTTAGATTTTATATTAGGCACAAAAGGGCTTCCTTTAACGTTTTGTGTCTTATTTTTGTTTATTAAATATTATATCCTTCACCTTTAAACCACATATATTCAACAGAAATATCACAAGATATTTAAAAGCAGCAAAACAGCGTATCTTTAAAATTTTCGATACACAGTCTCTCACCCTGGAAATATTTTTTTTTCCTTATAGTGTTGCCATTACTCGTTTTCAAAACGTTGAGTTTGTGAATCAAAAGTTCGTTAAAGTTTTACAAAATTTAAAATAGACAATAAAACAATTCAAAATTCAGACATCCAAGTGCCGATGTTCAGTCGGGAGACTATATTACACAAAATGTGATGGCTTTAGGAACCGTTGTTTTTTAAAATGCGAAAAAAATTCATCTAGACTCTTCATTATTTAGTTTCTTTAAATATAATGCATGGCGATAATATTCGGTGGCAACGGTTTGGAAAATGAAGCAACGCAGAAAATGAAACTCTACAAAATGCCGTTTTGAGACTAACAGCCCTTTAGGTCTAACGCCTCTTTGCGCTAAATAATAAAAAAATGACAATTTTATATCTCTCTTTCTATTGGGCATGTTCACAAAATTTAACTTGCGGTTTAAATGTCTTGAAAGCACAACTTACGATACGCATTAGATTTATACATGGCATTGTTCTAACATATGTATTTTGACATAAAACATAAATAATTTTGCATTTTCTGAAATGAAATGTATTTCCCTCCATACTTTCGTTCTACTACTAATATATATAACTAACTATTAAATTTTGTAAAATTTGCTGAGCACCTTTGCATGAAAAATTTAAAATTTTCCTTGGCGTATTTTCCCCCCAGTTTGGGCGAATACTAATCCCCCATATGCCCAAATTCTTAATTTATGGTGGCTTCTTTTCCTTCTCCTTTCACTGCGCACGAGCAGAAAAAAAGGCGCAGTTTTCATTCTTTCAAATTTTAACAAATTCTGTAAACCATATTTGGTATTATTATCGCTTGTAACAAACATCACAAATTTTAAAACGCGACAATTCACGTAAATCTTCCGAAATTTTGGAATAAAAAATTCTACTTTTTTGCAGGTACGCCTAAACATACATCTATTTTAAGAAGATGACAAAACTTTTATTGGTTATATTTCAAAATGAGTTTTAAAAAAGTTTTTAAATGTTCCTGAGAAATACAAATTTTAAAATAAATCAGAAAATAGCTTCGAATTTTATTTGGATTGAACTTACATTTTAGACTGCGAAGAAAGTTAGTTTAATAAAAAGAATAATAATAAAAGTTATATCAATTTCAATTAAAACTGAAAAGCTAAAATTTTAAGAGCTAATTTTTTTTTTAATTCTTGTACGATTTTCCCAAAACTTGACTGTGGCATAATTTGAGTCGAAGAATAGAAGTATGGGAAAAATCGATGTCATTTCAGAAAATGTCCGATTTTGTGTCAAAATAACTTAGTGAGAACAATGCTATGTATAAATCTAATACACATATATCTCAAGTCGGGCTTTCGATTATTAAAATATTATATGAATTGCAAATTGCATTTTTTATATTTTATATTCTTTTTATAATGTTTCTGAAGTTTTAAAAATTTTATTTTCTAATATTCTGCAGATGAATTCGTCTATACTTTGAGGCCTGTAAATTGCAAATTCAAGACATTTAAAATTATTTTACATATTTAAAATTGGTTTAAAACTGATTTACATTTAATATCATTTTTCTATTAAATAGCTATTGGGCCCAATATAGGATGCATCAAAGAAAACGTAATCAAAGAATGTTCCGAAAACGTCAGGAGAGTGCATGAAGCTTACAAAGATTACCTCAACCCTAAAGATGAAGAAATGTCTGAGGAGATCTGGAATAAAATAGCTTGCATGTAAATATACATCATATTCTCATCTCGTGTTTTTTTACTTTTCTAATTTTAACGAAACTTAAATTAGAGCGTTCATGTTAAAAAATCCGTTCACTTATATCGTCATTCTGAAGACGAATTTACTTTTAAATCACTGCAATTTCCTACATTTCATATAAACCACTAGTGCGTAAGGTTTCTCATTGAAACATGTTGTGTTTTAAAACTATATTTCGACTTTAATATATTAGTAGAAATTTTTAAGTAAAGATTTTACGAGATTTAAGTAAAAACACAAACACCCTTTAATTTGTGTGTGGTTGGTTCTCTAATATGATTTCCCAATTTAATACTAAATATACCTCCTCAATTTTTTGTCGTATGATAGTTGCATATTTTATATTCTGAGTTTTTTAAGATCTTGCTGAATATGAGCAAGTGAAACGAAGGGACATGTAAAAAGTTACACGTTGAAATTTTTTTAAGTTTTACATAGTATATCTCTACTGCCAAAGGTTCCGAAAATAAAGGCATTGTGAACAAAGTTATGATACGAACAAAGTTATGATACGTACAAAGTTATGATACGTACAAAGTTATGATGAATGTAGCCATGGGCCAGGGGTGCCCTAGACCTACCTCGCGAACTACACGTGTTATTAGAGACCTTTCGATGTTGCTCTCATTGCACACGGCCATTTTGTTATTTCATGCATAGTAAAATCACGTGGAGCTGACATATAGTAAGCTATTAAAACCATGCAATCGAACTTAATCTGTCTTCCCCAAAGCATGTGCCCCTAACAACAGACTTTGCACGTGCCATGATTGATTCTGCTTTAGTTTTCATTACATTATGGAAGAATAGATTTTGCAAACTTTTTAGCTACCACTATATTACACAGCAGCAGAAATTAAGTGCAAAAGTTTCGCTACGCGTGAAATTGTGAAAGTTGTTTTAAAATTGTAAAGTTTAATCTCGCCATACCACTTCAGAATAGACTTTTCAAAGTTCTAATTCATGAACTTAATGATAAATATGGAACTTTTCTGCTAAATTCTGAAATTAGATGGCATAATATGAGAAAGTTCTACAGCGATTCGTACGATTTGTATAGCTTCTCCCGGAGATAAAAACAGTTTCTGGAAACTACTAACGAAACTTTGATCATAGTTGGTTATCTGACTCAGCCTTCCCTATAATATATGACAACTAAAATGAATAATATTTTAGATCTTGAGCTTAAGGAGAAACGAACGAAAATTATTAAAAGGAAGTATAAACTTTTTACAGGGTGATCACAATTAAAGTTCCGATTTCAAAACGCTCTAACTTTAAAACTACTCGTCAGAATGACATGATATTTTACTAGAACAACAGTGAGACAATGAAATTCTGTTTTGATAAGGAAAAATAGTTTCAAAATATACCAATAGATGGCGCTGCTAGGATTCACATTGCTGTTGGTATGCAATTTACAAAGACGTAACATGCGCACTGCAGACATGGCTAAGACAAAAATGCAGAGCACTAACGACACACATAACAACTTGCCAGAGTGCAAGAATAATTCAATTCCGTATATACCTCTGGCTTACACAAAGTGCATAATAAAGTTAAGAATGAAATGTTACCAATAGTGAAATAACATGAGCATACAAGGCTCTTGAAGAAAGTACATGTTTTCAATATCCACACATCATTCCGGTGTTGTTGTACAATAAATCAGAGGCACACTAATGTAGATAATGATGGAAATGTTCTACGGCTTTGACTATGGCGAGCAACTCTTTCCTGGTGACACAGTAATTCCTTTCCGGTTTAGACAGGCACTTGCTCCAGTAAGCTACTACTCGTTTTTGGCCTTCTTGCGACGAAACTGCACTGACACTTTCATTGCTCGCGTCCGTGTCGAGAATAAATGGTCTGTTGAGCTGAGGATACGTCAGGATTCAAGCAGATGCTAAACCTTTCTTTAAATGCATCCTCACATTCTTTTGTCCACAAAACATTTTTCTTACTCTCTGTCAGCTTGTGAAGGGGTCTTGCGAAGGGGTATTTTTGTTATTTTTAGTTTTCATGATTCATTAACTTTGCTCTAAATTGCTTTATCTATTTATATTTTTTTAAAAATTTTTAATCTTGCCCTTGATATTACATTTTTCAAAGTTTTTTCATTGATATCTAAATTATGATTTTCAAAAATTGCTGAGATAATTATTGCCACATATGTTTAATGTTAATTATATTCTATATAGCGTATTTTAAAGTATTTGAATTTAATAATATTCTAATTCTTTTAAATGTTGGTATGATGGTTTTTAATTCGATATTCAATTTCAGTAATATTTTAATCTAATTAAACTTTGTCCCAATGTTTTTATAGCTGTGTTTTTATTCTCTTCCTTGCTATATGAAAGTAATAATAACCTTACTTTAGTATTTTATACTTACAGTAAATGTATTTATTTACACTTGCATGCCATCTTAAAAAACGACGTTTTTCAAGATGGCTGACGATTGTAAAAATCGCGCCAACGTAAATCGCCAAAAATCCATGCAACCGTCTACCAGAGTAGTACTCGTTTATCTCTTTTTTAACAGATTCTTCCATCTTTTCCTAACCAGGTTTCATCTCATCTCTTCTTTAACAGAATCTATCATATCTTCTTTAAATACAGCAAAGGCTGCCATGAATTGCCTTAATTATTCTTTCATCGCTCTTGTACTAATTAACATTCAAAATCCTACTTCTGACAACAAAAATTGTCGCTTGCGTACGGATTAGTTATGAATTGAATGCACAAGTCCAATGAAAAATGAATAAGATTTATTATTATCCCAAATAAATAAAACAAAATGCTTAAATTTCCTCAGATATTCGTACAATAGTGCAATATCTCACAGTAGTTATCTTTTAACTACTCAAACGTTCAGCAGAACGTAATTCAAAACAGCTAGAGAAAGCTAATTCCCGAATTCACTACAGTTAAGAAGAGCAGTTTTCTAAACAAACTCTTACAAAAACAACAACTAACTGAATTGAGAGGTTTTCCTCCTTTTTATCAGCTTTTTAAATCACGGGCGAGATTGTTTTAGCAATTTCGCGAAATCAAAAAGAATATTTATTTATTAAATGTTAAATGCAGGTGCTCTTGTATTTTTAATTTTCCGGCTTAGCTTTCCTTTAATATTCGTCACGCGCTCCACTGCACAGGGAATAAAACAATTTTATTTATAATTCTACCTTAACTATTAAATACCAAATTCGTAACAATACTTTTGAGTTTATAGCTAATTTAAATTACTTCCTAATTTTCGCAAAATTCAGCCCATCGCTTCATTCTTTTCAAATTCTTTGCTGGTTTTAATATTTTCGATATATCGCAACGATTGCAAATAATGTTGAATAAAAATTCTACTGGTGTAGAGATCAAAAAACTTAAGTCTGATCTATAATTAAAAAAAGCATATCACCAACAGATTTTGGGATACTTTAAGATGAGAAAAAATATCCACTGTTAAAGGAAGCATTTCAAAGATTAAACTCTATTATATCAAGTTTTGCCTATTTTGGGTTCTCGTACATGGTTCTAAACATTGTTCTGCGGAGAGCCAAACGTTTATGTTTTTTAGCTTTTTCGTTATAAATCTTGGTTTGCTATTTCAGGCTTGTTGCTGTAGATGCATTTAAAAACTTTGCAGCCATTACCTCTTCACTTACTTGTAATGGATTTCTGCATCGGCAGAGCTTGTCTTTTACCACCGATTTACCTTTAACAATATTTTACCAACGACAATTAACAATATTAACCTTTACAATACGTACTTTTCTCGGGTATGCGTTTCTTTCAATGTTGAAGCAATGGCTGGTATTTTTTCCGATTACTATTAATAATGTTGCTTATTGTGCGCATAGAAATTTTAAGTTATTGAATGGGAGTTTTTTTCTTCTTTTCATTCTCTAAGATTAATACAAAAACCATCGAAACTTGCTTCAGTTGCGTTTCCTGAACTCATCGCTTAGGGCGCCAAAATTAAACTTATTTTATCGTTAACCCATTCAAAGCCCAGTAAAGGCGGGTGTTAAAGACCGCTCGAAACTGATTGTTCAAACCCATATCAATGGTGTGTCGTTTCTTTTCATGGTTTTCCCCATGTCCAGCATGAATATGAGCCCCTTTTCCTTAGAAAGTCTTCCTCGAATGCATCCTTTCCTTAAGTAGACAGTCCTCGTGACCTTACCAGATCAAATGCCCTAACCTAAACGTTAATTACTATCTTTCATTGCTAAAAAACAGCGGAGCACATAATCCTTTCCGGCACGCTACTTTTTAAAATTGGAATTTTACAAAAAAAAAAAAAAAAAAAAAAAAAAATGTGTAGGCAGTCTATTTAGGCCTAGGAGAGTATGCTGGTATAATTTTACAAAGATTGCACAAATCGTTTCAATTTCGGCTGGTGTGTCCGAAGCGGAGACACTGAGCTGCACGAGCTGCGATAGGTGGGCATTGCTGTGAAGCATGTATTACAGTAAAATACTTTGTGTATGATTTAAAAACAGTAGAATCTGGTCTCTGTAACAGATTTAGCATAAACCAGGGTTCTCCACGGAGATACCTGCTACTCTACAGCCCCCCCAAAAAAACCGGGGAGAAAAGGAAACTCTCATTGATTCAGCAAAACTGAGGCCTCTCCGAGCCATTTACCTAATTTTAAAATAAGAAAAATAATTAAAATACTATAATATTTACAAGTAATTATTGACAATTAATTATATACAAATAAAAATCTACAGAAATCAAAACTAAGCAAACTACGCACGATGAAAGTAAGAGAAAAAAAAAGGTCTGCTCTCCCTGAAAATCAAATAGCTAACTTAAAACCCGGGCCTTCAAAAGCAAAAACAGAAATAATGAAAACAAATATAAATAAATCTGCGCTGTCAGCCCCCCCTGTGTTTGAAGCACGAGACCGGATTCTGTGATTCCATCCCACTTGACAGGCGCTACCACTATAGTGTGTTCAGTCCGAACGCACCATACACTCAAGGCTTCACTATACGCAATATCTCAGATAAAAATTAAAAGTAATACAGAATAGCCAGATTAGCATACGAACAACAAAATTATATAAAGATTTTTTTTCATTGATATTATTTATATTTAAAAAAGAATCTGAAACATTTCTTTGAAAAATCAGTATCTTTAAAAACAGAATATATCTCAAAGTTAATGATTTGCTTGTGTGCTGCTGTCATCTATTATTCATAAAAGAGATTAAATCTAACCATTAGTGTAGTTTTCGTGATATTTATCGATTATTTTCAGTATCTAAAGAGGGAATATTTTTGGCGTGTTGACTCCGAACACACTGCGCGGGAAAGGGTTAAACGTAAAGAAACAAAAGAAAATGAATGTTTTTATAGCGATATTCATCTGTGTTATTTACAGACTGAAGTATAATTTATGCAAAAGCACTATTATGTTCTAGTTAATATGTAGGTTTTTTTTTCCTCCCCGCCAGGAGCTTTGCGTATGATATTGCTTGCGCCGCTAATGCTGTTTCAGTACCCTGTGGCAGAAAAGTGAAGGATGCCGTTCTAGAAGTTGAACGTCGTGTTGACTGGATGGAAAAAAGGACTGGCTGTCCAAGAAGCTTACGAGAAGAAATTGCTAAAGATATCCCAGCTATGGAAGTCAGCCTTGCAGAAAAGGTGTTGCTGGAAGAATTACTCTTGGACATCTGAAAGAGCAAACGGATGAGACACGCATGCAAGAAGAACCTCATTCTGAGTACATTGATTAATGTTTGGTTAACTATGAGTACAGAATTAAATGAAATAAATATATTTTGCAAGCACATTCGATTACTTCAAAAATATTTCTTTCTGTTTTAGTAAAGCAGTTATGTCTTTTAAATAAAATCCTAGATCAAAAGAGTAGACTTAAACTAAAATTTGCAGTTCTTCTTTTCCGGATTGTTAACATCTAGTCCGTGAGAGAAAACTCCCTATTCCTTAAAATTTCCTTTTCGAGATAAAACTAAGAAGAACAGTGCTAAAGTGACTAAAGTCTCTGTCACATATGCTTCCACTGCGCGGGAGTGGCCTTCGAAATGGACATTTCTCAGAACCCGCACATTCCACGTAACATACGTAGCTAGCTTACCATTTACACTTACTAAAAAGACTTGAACGCAAAACAGTAATTGATTATCGCTCAGATTGGGATCATGTGATCCTTCAGAAGCAGAACTTTTGTCTGATTGATCGGACACTACTCTACTCGGGACAGAGCTGCAGACCTACATTTTCGGCGAAGTTTCATAAAATCCCGCGTAGCCGTGACATCGTTTCAGTAGCTAGGCGGGAGTTCGCTTCCAGAAGAGCTTTTTTTTTATGTATCCTACCGTTTGAGCCAATTCTACCGGAATCTCGTATCTCAGAAACGTCCCGTCTACAGGTACAGTCGCTAGATGTGATAACTCCTTTAGCTCCAAGAAGCAAATCAAGTTTCACAGCACATTTCTCATACAGAATACGCTAGAAAGACAATGAATGTTTTTATAGCTGCTTCAGCAACATGTGGTGTTTCATTGTCTTGTCGCTGTTTACTGTATCACTAGCTACTCCCCTGTTCTCCAGTGAATCGAATAAGCGAAGGCGTGAAACTCACTACTATGTGAAATGCACGAAAATGCGGCCGGCAGCATTAACATATACAAAATCGATCCAACTTTTGTTGTCCTGAAATTCTGAGACTTGGCGAAAAGGTTAAACAATTGTTAAATTAAATGATAAGTAAATAATCTCTCTATATATAAAGAAAAATGTCTGGTTGTGTGTTTGCTCGTGATTAACTATTATAGTCATCAAACCTTCTACCATTCTTTTCTAGGTTTTGGAAAAGGTCGAAGTCCACGTTTTTCTAAGGAAACAAGAAATAGCTAATATCAGAGATATTAAATAAAAACTCAGAAAACGCCCATTTTCGCCGTCATTTTTTCGAGTGGCAACAGTCTGGCGCGCTGTAGATAAAAATCTGCTTTATTTCGAGAAGTGTTGCCACTGATCGCTTTCAAATTGTAGACTTTGTTAATAAAAATTTTTAAGTTTTACAGCGAAATAAAAATAGCATTCCCAAACATTAGATATTTATTGAGTGGAAACAGTCTCGTGCGTTGTGGATAAAAACACTTCATTTCGAAAAGTGTCGCTACTGTTCCCTTTCAAATCGTAGAGTCTGTTAATAAAAAAATTTTAAGATTTACGAAATATATATATCGTTTATTTTTCTGCGGAAATATTTTATGTGGCTTCCCTATCGCATCATACTGAAAAATGTATGACTGTGAATCGTATTTTTTCCATCGTTATTAGATAAGTATTACAGCGATATCATTCTCTCTGTTATTAGATACATTACTCTCAATGTAACTTAATTGGCATCGAGTACTTCCTCTAGTATTAAATAAAGATTAAGCTTAGCGCTCCGCACGTTTTTGTACCATTGCCTACCAACAACTCCGGCACATTTTCGCAGCGGAATGCATCATCCAGAATATCTGCATAAATCTCTCTTTTGTAAATATTTTATCAAAGAAAGGGATGTGACTGTTCTCCTTAACTGACCTATAATCCTGCATATTCGCCAGGGGTATCGTACCCATATTGATAATAACTCCAATAAAAGCCCAAAAACGCATCCTCTTCCACCGCACGCCACGTTTTCCAAATAGAATTACTAGATATTTCTTTATTCTTTAGAACATTTTCTGCGTAATTGTTGGTTTCATGTATAATTTCATTTACCAGTCCGTTTGTGAAAAATAATTTGAAATAGTGTGTCGACTGTATAATATTTGTAGGAATTTGTGGTCCAATGACCTTTGGCGATACATTGAACTGTATTCTATCCGGAATATCTAATTTTTCCGTGACATCGCGCCGTTCATCTAAGTCTTCCGGCGACTCTTCGCTTTCACTTTCAATATCTACCATTCGTCGTCTGTTTGGCAGTACAATTTCGGAACCACTATTTGAAGTGTCAGAATTATAATCAACATTGTCTTCCACAATATCTTAATGAAATCCACAATACCACAATGAAAAATCAAACACATCTTCAGTATCACTCAACTCTATATTCTTATTACAATAAGTATTTTTCTCCATGTTGCTAACCATAAAATGGGTCAAATAATGTTTCAATCGTAACAGTAGCGACACTGAGCCCGTTTTAACTACAGATAGCTAACGCCGGCGATTCCATAACATCTTAAGCCTAATCATGATAAAAACATTGGGCTCAGCAACGGAGCCTACGGTGTTAAGGAACAAATAAGTTACGGAACGCTAAGGGTTAAACGAAGATGGATCAATTAAATGTAACTCAAACTTTGAGCAAAAATGAGCTGTCAATTTATCAAAAGAACTCATGAAATTAATCAGAAACTTCACTATACAGCTTGTAGTTTATTTAATAATAATAATAAACTTGTGGCTTATTTATTCGACTATATTTAAATTAAGTCAATTAGAGGTAATTAAGTCAATTAGAATGCAATCACACTGCTCATCCGATAGCGAAAATATATAAAAGGCAAAATCAAAGGTTAAATTCATCCATTCTAATGAGAATGCACTAGCGAAGTAAAGCACTGCAGTTTTACATAATTTCTGAGTAAGCTATTCGTAAAAATTGAAATAATTCTTGCATTTAATCTTGTATTCCAAATTAAAATTATCTTGAAATTAATGTAGATAATTACTGCGAGAATTAGATTTTTGTACCGTAGTTTACGTGATGTGAGATCACTTGGGGTCACGTGATACGAACCGGCGAATCAGGATGTTAAACCATGAAAGCATAGTAAATTCTTAAATTAATGTCTTTTTACAAATTTATTGTCGTTGTTTATTAACATTTTACAAAATTTTAAACCATATTAATTATTTATGTCTTTAAAATAAAAAATTCTTAGAACTAATATTCGTTAACATTTTTTATGTGTATACTGTATGTTGTCGCCAACAAAGTCTGCTTGGCGAGATTTGCGCCGGCGAAACAGAAAAGTACCGAAACGGTATATATATATGCGCAAAAGCTGCAAAGTAATAAAATAATTATTTATTTACTAATGGATTATCTAGTATACTCCTTTTATAAAGGAAGTTAAAATTCTATTGATATCAGAAAATATTTCATACCAAGAATTAAGTGCTGTATCTAAGCAAAACTTTGCAAGAAGGTACGCGTCAGACAAGTATGCAAATGATTATTAATGCAGTGTAATTACATATTCTATGACGCCACCAGGGGGTGGTTTCTCTGGCGCATAAAAATGTACACATAAGTATTTTGCCTTTACATAATAATCTATTGCAGAAGAGTACTTTTTCACAAGGAATTCCATTACATCACATCGAAGAAATTATGACCAGCTGTCAGATTTCAAGAAGAAATAGGAAGCTGGGTAGTCAGCCATTACACCACATCGAAGATGTTATGATCATCTGTCAGATTTCAGGAAGAAATGAATGATCCGGGTAATGGAAGCTGGGGAGTCAGCCATTACACCACATCGGAGATGTTATGATCAGTTGTCAGATTTCAGGAGGAAATGAATCATCCGAATAATGAAAGGTGAGGAGTTAGCCTTTACACCACATCGAAGATACTATGATTAGCTGTCAGATTTTGGGAAGAAATTAATCATCCGGATAATGGAAGCTGGGTAGCTAGCTATTACACCACATCGAAGATGTTATGATCATCTATCAGATTTCAGGAAGAAATGAATCATCCGGATAATGGAAGCTGGGGAGTCAGCCGTTACACCACATCGAAGATGTTATGATCAGCTGTCAGATTTCAGGAGGAAATGAATCATCCGAATAATAAAAGCTGAGGAGTCAGCCTTTACACCACATCGAAGATATTATGATTAGCTGTCAGATTTTGAGAAGAAATGAATCATTGGGATAATGGAAGCTGGGTACTCTGCAGGGCGAATAGCTTGCCTCCTAGTCCATTCTGAATCTATGAGTTCTGTAAGGAGGGCTTGAGATAAGTGGACGAGAAAGAGAGGTCGCATGCCCGTTGGCCAGGCTCAGGACGTCCTCGGCAGACCAAATAGCCGAAAGCTCTCTCACATCCTCTGGTCAGGCCCCTTCTTGTGTGGATAGCACACTTTCAAGACGAGCCTTGGTCCATTCGTACTATTCTGATGGCCCTGGCTGAAGAATCACTACCATCAATCTGAAGTGATACAGCCGTCTATATCAGAAGACGCAAAATTATATTTCGAGTCTAAATACTCCGTTTGGGCTAATGTCCTTTTTGGGCTAAAAATTAAACTTATGAAAATAAACATCACTTTTGTGAAATATATGCAGTGAGACGGGGAGAAGAGAGGTAAAAAAGTGAAAAGTACAAATTTAACGTATGAAAAAGTATTACTGTTGTTAAATAAAAAATTGAAATGAATTGTAAAGTGAACGAAACGGGTGATGAAAAAATTAAATTAATTTGGTAAGAAGTAGGAAGAAAAGAAAAAGGTAACATTAGAAACGTATGCTTATAAAATAAAAAAATAAAATAAAAAAAAAATAAAAATAAAAAAAAGAAATTTAAAATGGGGGAAAAATCTTACATTTAAAGCAACAAATAAAATTTAAATAATGGTTTAGAATACCAAATTAAATCTATGTCCACTTCAAGAAACAAACTCCCCGACTGGCTGAAATAGAAAGCTTCTACTATAAGAGAATGGCAGGCAAACTGGAACTTAAAGAACTTAAATAGAGATGACGTTATTGCCTAATAGCACAAAAGGAAGTATTGTAATCGCGA